CTTCCTGTTGGAGGGATAACCATGTGGTGAGAGCTCAGGCGCTGGGTTCCACTGGGTGTGGCCTCTCATCGGGGCAAAGGAATAAGAAATGTGGCTGTGGGTCACAAGGTGCATCTAGGTAAGGGATTTGACCAGGGGGAACGTCTAAGCAGAACACTTTGTCCTCTAGATTGAGCATTGTAGTGATGTTTTTGCCCCCAAGTAAAATACCTTGCCTTTCTCCTCAGGACCCCAAGGTGGTTCTGCCTTATCAGATTTGGCTGATCACTACAGCTCCTCTTTCTTTTGCCTATTCCAGAGGTGGTCATCCAAGTACAGAGGGATTAAGGGACAGGCCAGAAGTGTGTGGGGGAGAGGACAAAAAATGTCTCAGAGAGACAGAACACAGCCACGCCCACGCATGTGCATGCACGCCCACACACGGGTGTTATTCTCAGGCCCTTTGGGCATTAAAGTGTGGCCCTAGGGCTGTCAGCCTTGATCCTGCATCCACCTCTCTGAGTCCTATTCCTGAGTCTTTGCCGGCTAAGGCTGCATACAGCTTTGATCAACTATGGGGCAGAAGTTTAGGGGAGGTTTAGGGTGCTTTAAGGGCTGCACACATTTCATGGCTGTGAGCTGGTCATATGGAGGTTTTTATATTTGGGGCATTTTCCCAGTCAGATTGTAAATTAGATTTTACATGGTGAGTCACAGAAGCCACGAGCTTGTCTTGTCTGTTTTCTTGCCTGGTTTACCTAAGGGACAAAAGTTAGGCTTGCCCCTGACCCCCCACCCGACCCGGGGCATCCACAAGTGGGAGGCCCTTAATGTCTGTAGAGTAAGTTCCCACTTGTACCCAGACTGGAGCTGAGGCAAAATGTGAAAATGTAGGACAAACTATGTGATGCCTAATTTCCTTGATTCAGAGGCATAAGTTAACCAGGTTAAATCTTAGTTCATATTTATGTTTATTGCTTTTTTTAACTGTTAAATGGTGTATCTTGTCATCGTCTGAAATACCTTCCACCACATTCCCAAATGCATAAAAAATATTATGCCATTTATGCAGAAGACATAAATTAATCCATGATGCTGCTGCCCCTCGTGGTGGAAAGCACAACAGAGACCTCTGCAGGGAGA